TCGGGCGAGAGCCGGATCCACGAACTCATCCATTGTCACAGACCCTCCGATCGCTAATGCGATACCAAAGAAGAAGGTGACTTTCGAGCCTCTCCCCGAAGAAAACGATGAGAAAGAGAACAAACGTCCCAGAACCATGTCCAAATCCAAGAACACAAAGACACAACCGGCTGCCCCCAAGAAGACCGAGACCGCAGCCACCGGCATGCGTGCTAAGCCGATCCGAAAGCCTGCCAATACAAGAACGACGAAAGCCGCTCGAGGAGCAGCCGCTACGAAGGCGCTGGGATCCAGAGCTAAAGGAGAGGTCGAGAAAAATGAGAAGATCCAGTCTCGCGCGTTGACCCCCAAGAAAATCACCCAAGTCGCCAAAGCAATGCCCGTGGACAGTGATGATGAGGAGGACGAACTCGCTGGAGCTAAGACTCCGGTCCGCGATCTCAGCCTCTCGCCCAAGCGTGGACTCGCCGCTTCAGCGACACGATTGTTGTCGCCGGTCAAGAAACTTGACTTTTCGCCCGCGCTCCACCTAACATCACCCCCGAAGAACGACGCAGGAGGGGCCTGGGGCATGCTGAGTCCGCCACGGCGGCCGGCTTCTCCGGTCAAGGACTCATTGAAGGAGTCCCCCCGAAGAGCGCCAGAGGGCGTCACAATCTTCCGAGCCCATATTCCAGATGGCCAGAACTCTGCTCCCTTGATTCTGGACCCTTCCAACGCCCAATCCCTCCTTCAGCAGTCTCCAAAGAGAGGTTTGACTGATAGAATCGTCTTCCCACCATCGGCAGTCAAGTCGCGAACCACTCCATTGAAGACCTCTTTGTTGTCTTCACCTGCCAGACGCCTCTTCTCAACTTCAAAACAGAAGACGCCCGTTCAGACATCGCCCTTTCTAGGGAGGATGTCCGACCGAGAAAGCTCGAGACCAGTGGCCAATGCCGAAGGGAGGCTTCAAAGTGAAGAGAATGATGCAGTCGCAGTGTCATCTCATTTCAGATCTTCCCTTTCACCTCAGCGGTCCGCAAGGGTGTACAGGCTGAGCGAGGATGAGTTGGCCCAGGAACTGGGCGCTGAAGTGGACTTCGACGCCTCCGTGTTAAACATCAGAAGTCCTCTCAAGGTGGACACGGTCAAGCCTGTTGTGGAGACTGCTGTCGAGAAAATGGCTTTGGACGATCCGCCCGTTCAGAAAAATGTTTACCAAATCATGGAAGCTGAATTCCTGGGGGTTGCTTCGGTCGACGAAGCCGTTCCAGCTACCAGAGCTGACATCACCGAGACTAACGTGGATCCTGAAGTCGAATCCGAAGACTCCTCTAACGAGGAGGAAGCAACGGACGCCGTTGAGCCGTGTGACATCGAGACTCACGATGCTGATGATTGTCAGCAAGCTGATGCGAACTCTGTCAAGAAACCCAGAATTTCGGACGCTCTATTCAGTCGCCTGAGACAAATCGATGACGAGTCTGAGGATGAGCTCGCTGGAGATCAGACACCAGACAGCCGATTCCTCGAATCCCATTCTCGACCTACCATGAGCGCTGCCAGAATCCAATCTCGTCTCTCCACTGGAGTCGTCCCGGAAAGCGCATCGAAAAACCTGGGCTTCACTCCACTGGCAGCACAAGTCCAAGGATGGCGAGCTGCCAGTCCTGACAAGAGATCCGGTGCTGTTTCCAAGTCGCGGGGCCTGTTTTCGCCTGTTGCTCAGATGCATATTGCTGGCTCAGTGGAGCTTAGCCGACCAGATACCCCGGGCCGTGAAGCTTCGAGACGAAAGTCGATGGCGAACAGATTTTCTCTAGCTCCTTCGATTGCTGAGAGTCCTGCGAAGGCTGACTTTTTCGCGGAAGGTATGGCTGCGCAAGATTTTCAAGATCAAGTCGAAGCAGATGCCGCTGCCACTGCAAGAGATGAGGACCTTTATAACTTCATGCCGCGAGCTATCCCGATGGATAATGCTGCTGGCGAAATCGACGGCGAAGTCGAAGCCACACCGGGAGAAGACATGGGAAAGTCAAGCGTGGAGTTGACGACCGATCTGGTTAATTTTACCAATGCGTCTGATACGGCCATGGTCGATTTCAAGGCTCTGGCGGACGAAGCTGAAGATCTTGCAGCCCAAAAAGAGCATGACAAGGAAGCCACTCCCGATGAGCAGGCTAATACTACCATCCCCACGCTTATGCTCGAAACAGTAAATGAAGAGCAATCCATGCTATCAGTTTCAACTTCTTCCAGATCATATGGGGATGAAAACACCGCTCCCATCGAGCAACCTGCGGCAGATGATCCTGATACAGATGAAATGGAGGAGTTTCCTGCTGAGGAAAGCGCAGACTGCCACGCAGATGTGAGTAATGATTCTGAAGAACATCATGGGGGAGACGACCACGGCACACCTGAGCATACAGAGGGAGACGAAGCCGCCATGGACTCCGAACTGGGCGCAAACGGCCAGTTGTTTGAAGTCACAGCAGCCAGCATAGACACCTTGCCGTCGAAGCACGAGCACACCTCAGCCAATGTCGACAATGCCATTCAAGAAATGGATTTCAGTGTGACGCCGGTCCGGCCAGATCCAGGTCTCCCAAGATATGTTCATACTGCGGTGTCAAAGGTTCCGCTTCGGCCTGAAGGAGCAGTCGCTTCCCCTCCGTCGCCACTCAAAGTGCAGAGGAAAAGACCAAGGTCACTTTCTTCTTCTCATGTACAACCTGTCAAGAGACGTAGTTTGGGTCCGAGCTTGGAAGTTCCCTCATTCGACATCGACCCTCTTGCAACCCCGAAGGCAAACAGCGCGTCGGTCACATCGCCTCAGAGGCGCATGCGGAGTGCAGCACCCAGTCCAGCAAATTCGCTCGCCACGGGTTTGACGACGCCTGGTCGCCTGAGCTTTACCGTTGAGGACTTCGGAGATAGCACGCTTGATGGAATCGACTTACCCGAGGAGGAACTGACGTCTGACGATGTCGAGGAGACGGAAATTGTGGATCAAGATGACAGCGTCCTGACTATCGGTTCTTCCTTGTTCAAAACGCCGGCCGCCGCAACGAAGAGACGCAGCATTGTTCCTTCTACTTCACAGTCAAATGTAGCCACGACACCCCGCTATGCCACGGGCACAAAGGCAAGCGCGAGTCGGATCTCTGCGACTCCGAAATTGACGTCCTCAAGGGTAGGTGCGTCTACGTTCAAGACGCCTACCACCATCACCAAAGCCAAGACTCCCATCACCTCAGCGAACCCAAAGTCTGCGGCGAAGACTCTACCAACAAGCCGAACGCCCTTGAAAACGGTCGGAAACGGGGTTCTTTACGGTGCAATTGTCCATACCGACATCCACACCAGCGAAGGAATGGACGCTTCGGCCTTTTACATCGACCTGCTAGCCTCCATGGGAGCGCGGGTGGTCAAAGAGTGGAGGTGGAATCCCAGAGCGAGCGTTGCTTCCTCTAGCCAGGAGCCCGCTGGCTCTGAAGCACCAGTTTCGAACATTGGCATCACTCACGTCGTTTACAAGGATGGCGGGAAGCGCACGTTGGAAAAGGTCCGCTCGGCCAAAGGCCAAGTTCTCTGTGTAGGCGTTGGTTGGGTTCTCGACTGCATGCGGGAGGCCAAATGGCTCGATGAATCCGCGTACGCTGTCGATGCAAGTATTATGCCCCGAGGTGGATCCAGGAGACGCAAGTCCATGGAGCCTAGATTGCTCGTCAACGACAATGGCTTCTTGTCTGCGAACAAGGAGCATCATCGCCGAAGCCTCTCCGCGGAGTATGCGTGCTTGACTAGGGAGATGAAAATGGAGTTGATCAACACGCCTGTCAGGGGAATGGAGGTAGTTGGGAGTGTCGGGCATACTGGGAACGGTGTCGAGGTCGGAGACGAGTCGGAGATTAGTTCGACGTACAACTCTCCAACTGTGGCGACGGTCTGGGGAGGTGGTGACACTGCCGACGTGGGCCTTCTGATGGTCCAGCAGGACGCCGAGACACCTGCGTCAGCCCTGTCCAAGAAAGTAACTACAGATTTGTCGACGCCAAAGTCTGTTTCTTTGGAAGTGGACTACGACCCACGCACAGCAGCTACACCGTTGACTCCGTACCTCGTTGCCAAGGGACGAGAGCTGGTGCAAATGAGTGCCCCGCCAAAACAGATCAACAAGGGCATCTTTGATCGTGATGGCGACGACGACGACGATGATGATGATGACGATAGCGCTGCAGGGGAGAAAGGACGTGCCAATGGTGGGAAGAAGTTCCAGGTAAAAATGTATGGGAAATCAGGGAGGGGGTTGCTGGATGCTAGGAGGAAGACCCTTGGTGGTGGTGCCGTGGGCCCGGGGTTCAAGCCTCGGATTGGGAGTCCATTGAAGAGGGAGTGATGCGATTTCGACTACTCGGTACTTGTCTGAAAGTGACGAGTTGGTTGGAGTCCTTAACACTTTGTTGAAAGGAAGCTCTTGGATGTACGTAGGTAGGTATAGAAGAAACTGATTCTGGCTCGGGTCTTGGAAATGGAATGGGAAGGCAATTGATTTTCTCGGTTGGCATTACGGTCACGATTAGACCCAGCTACGGGCTGGACTGGGTCATAGTTGTTGCTTTGGGTTGGCTGATCAATTGGCCGACTAATTGGAGTGTTGATTGAGGTTGAGGTTGAGGTCGAGATTGAGAACGAACATGTACGAAAAATATGAAGGACCAGAAACTGCTTGCTTGCTTGCTTGCTTGCTTGGGTCATTCGATGAGTTGATTCATTGCTTTCGTTCTCTTCTCTCTTGGCCTGCCTCTTTCTTGCCTTGGCTTGCCTTGCCCTCTTCGCTAGTTGTTTCCCACCCCTTTACTACATACATACCCACATACATGGTACCTGACTTATTTTCGTCGGGCCACCGGAGGTTCATTTCACGCACCAAGCACCAAGCACCATGCATATGCGATATGCGCCACGGGCATGGACTCGTACTTTCTCTCGGGCGCTTGCGTGCTCTCACCCTCTCACACGGCGGCAGGGGCCGGGGGGGCATCTCTGTAAAAACCTGCGACGAGAAAGGCCAGCTCGAGGGCCTGCTTCTCATTCAGGCGAGGGTCGCAGAAGGTGGCGTAGTTGAGGCTGAGGTGCTCCTCGGTCAGGCCCTCGGCGCCACCGATGCACTCAGTCACGGCCTCGCCCGTCAGCTCCAGGTGCACGCCGCCCAGGTACGACCCGTGCGCGCGGTGGATTTGGAGAGCCTGGTGCAGTTCGCTGAGGATATCGGAGAAGCGCCGCGTCTTGATCGTCGTGGTGGGGGCGGGAGGCGGTGCCGCTGCTGCTGTTTCTGCTGTTGCTGTTTGTGCTGGTGTAGGAGATGATTTATCGGTCGGAGCTGGGGCTGGAAGCGTGACTGTGGCGTTGCGCCCGTTGCCGTGCATCGGGTCACATTGCCAGACCACCGTGCCCTGGTGTCTCGACCGTTGCACCGCGCGTATGTGGCCGGGGAGGTGTGTGGCAATCTTGTCACATCCGTACCGTGTGATGAGGACGATTTTGCCGACTTCGTGGCCGGGATTGAGTATATCCAAGAGCGGGACGAGGTCCGTGGCTGGCATGGTAGGGCCGACTTTGACGCCGATCGGGTTGGCGATGCCGCGGAAGAACTCGACGTGCGAGTGTGTCAGTTGGCGTGTGCGGTCGCCGATCCAGAGCATGTGCGCCGAGGTGTCGTAATAGCCCTTTGTTGGGGGCAAGGGTGGAGGGAGCTGTGTCGGCAGTGACGTTTTGCGAGTTTTGGACTGGTTTTGATGAGTGCTGATGGGAGATGAAGGGCGATGGGCGGCTTGGTGGTGATGGTGGTTTGCAGGGTGTTTGAATTTTCGAGTGAGGGATTGTTCGTATTCCAGCAGCAACCCTTCGTGAGAGGTGAACAGGTCGACCGTCTCCAACCCGCCGCCTGTGTCCAGCCCGATGGTGCGCATCATCTCCAGAGTGTCCGTTATCCGCTCCACGATGATCTGGTATTTGTCCCGCACAGTGGGATCACGGACATGGCCAAGACTCCAGTCCAGGGGTGCATGTAGATCTGCGAGTCCGCTCGCCAACGCCGCACGGAGGTAATTCTGCGTCGCTGCCGAGTGGAAGTACGCGTCCACAAGTCGTTTAGGGTCGGGTTCTCTCAACGCCGGATCCGCCTCGTAACTGTTCAGTATGTCCCCCCGGAAACTAGGCATAGTGACGCCGTTGACGATTTCGGTGGGTGAGGAGCGCGGTTTTGCATATTGACCAGCCATCCGCGCCACGCGGACGACCTTCTTCTTTGCGCCGTAGATCAGAACCAGCGACATCTGGAGCAGGAGTTTGACTTTGGCCTCGATCATCTCTTGTGTGCAATAGTCAAACAGTTCGGCGCAGTCGCCTCCTTGGAGGAGAAAGGCATTTCCTGTTGCAACCTCGCGGAGCTCATTCTTCAATTTGACGATCTCTTGTGGGGTGACCAGGGGTGGTAGAGTGTTTAGTTTTTGAACGGAAGCGTTGAATACCTTAACGTCGCTGTACTGCACGGACTGGACAATGGGTTTGGTTTTCCAGCTCGAGGGCGTCCAGGGCCCCGAGTCGGCGTGCTTAGAGGGGCCGTTCGTCTCCATGTGTATAGACCGGCAGTGAACCCGACTCCCTTGGTGCTTCTGTAGACTTCCTCACGTCGACTTCTCACAGTACATGGATGTCCCTATACCCGGATGACTGGTCGCGGAGAGAAGTATGCTTCTCGGGGAAATCACTGAAATCCGCAAGCAGGTTTAGAAGATGATTTCTGTCAAATGAGTATACAAAAGGTATACCCAGGATGAGTCACTGCTAGCTGGGAAGATGAGCAGGCGTGAATGCAAGCTGAAGGTATTTACAGACTCCTGATAAATACTCAGTAATACATGTGGCCAAATACGCTTTATGGAAGGTCTGACATGGTTCTTTCTCCGAGCATCGAATACGAGTTGGAAAAAAGAGGGTTGTGTAACAAGGAGGCCTCGAAGATCTCGACTTTCCAAAATACAAAAGCTATTCTATTTTTGGCTAGATCAATTTTACGGTGGACTATTTTTCTTCACGGCGCCAGACTCGTGATTCAGGTCTCGACCTTGCATTGTCCGAAACCACTTCTTTGATCTCTCACATCTATTCAATCAACCGCAAGAAGATGGCGGAACCAATCCCATCGGCCTCGTCGGCCGCTGCAGACGCGGCAGATGACGAAACGTCCCAGGACCTCCCTAACAACGCCGAGGACCGCAAGGCCGCTGCGGCGCTCAACTCTCTGAATGCGAACGAGATGTCTACCGAGAATGGCGAGAGTGGGACGAGACAACCATCTGCGGCCGACCAAGAGGCGCTTGGAAAGGCCATGTCGAGACTGGAAATCGCTAGTGGCCTCGGCAAGAAGAAGGAGGACAATACCAAAGCTCAGGCGAAGAAGGAAGTAGAAGTGAAAAAGAAGGTCAAGATCGCGGCCGAGGACGTGAATTTTCTGGTGCGTAACACCCTTTGGGCCTTTTGGAGATGCCAAAGAGTTGCTGATATGTGGTCTAGGTCGAAGAGCTTGATCTTTCGAAGAACAAGGCTACAGAACTGTTGAGATCGCATGACGGAAATGCTACACTAGCAATTAAAGCCTTTATCATTCCCGCTGCAAGAGCATGAAGGCTCTTCTGATGGCCTGGCCGGGAAGGTGGCTACGGTCGACAAGTTCCTAAACTCGGCCAACTGCTCTCGGCTCAGAAGTCATGGGTCCAGCCGACACTTCAAGACGCGTGTTGTCTCGAGTGAAGCCGAGCTGTCCGGCGATCTGCACCGTCTAAGCCAGTGCAACACTCCAAGTGAGCGAACTGCAAAGGACAAGTGAGCACGGGGTGCAGCGTGAGGGATCATCTATAGTGGGGAGGTACACGGCACGTCTGCTGGGCAAATTCTCACTTGCATTTTCGTGGACATTGATAAATCGATGACTATTTCCGGGCAAGTGTCGCGCAACTTTGGAAAGGGGAACCTTGGAGGCCCTGACAGGAAGCCGAGGATGCAGATTCCCGAGCTGTGGATCATGTGGTCCGTGACTGGTGCTACGGCCAGCCGATTTGTAAACAGGCTATATACTCGATGCACATGCCCGGCAGAGACCCGGGTCATCTTCGGCATAGAAGAGCAGATTTTGCGAGATGGTGGTCGACGGCACATGGATTTTTTTCCTGGTTGAGACCACCTGGCCATATCCAGAGCCAATGGGCGTGTAGTGTAGCTCAGACCTTACATGCGATGGAATCGAGTTGTCCGGACAGTTAAACGGAGTTCTTGGCAAAGGAAGACGCTCGATCATATATCATGATGATGTAAAGCCATACACTCGTCCTCTTATCAAGAATCAGAAGCACACTCTTTCTCGCATTTGGACACTCACACAAACCGACCACACAGGTACGTGCGCGCGAGGGCGAATCAAGATCAATCAGTTGCGACATAATGGGTATACAAGAGTGGACGGTTAAAGAGGTCAGTTGACTTTGGTGGCTTCTCTTGGACTCTGCTAAGTGTCAGGCATACTATCCTTCAAAATGTAGCTTGGGCGAAGGGCCGTATTATACTAAGGAGCGACATGAGCTCCGGTATATGGTTCGTGAGGAACTGCTCTTCCTGCCGTCCTGCCCATCTGATCATGGCATCCAGGACATCAACCATAAAAAGCTTTTCATCATCGACCTTGCAAAGGGGCCCGACTCGGTCAAGATCATCGATACCACGCAGCCGATAGGGGTGACAGCAAACATCGAAGGCGTAGATCCCTCAGAGGTCATCCTGGCCGGCGCAAAAGACGGCGTTACGAAGTTCCACCTGAAGACTGGAGAGCATGAATATGTCGCCAAATATTGGAAGGGACGAGATGCTGAGGACAAGGCCAGAAGGTAAGGGAATTTCAGGCTGTGGAGGACCTGTCTCTCTCATCAACCTGTTAGGATGCGCTCGAACGATGGCGCCGTCGACACCCAAGGCCGTTTCTGGGTCGAAGCATTCGTTGATCCCACGGTAGCCGAACTCACCGAAGAGGGCTGCTTGTTCCGCCTCGACCACGACGGAACGCTGCAGACGATGCACGAGAAGATGACCATCCCCAACGGCATCTCCTGGAATGCAAACGACAACACCATGTTCCTCACCGACTCCCCCCCTCAGAACGTGTATGCCTTTGACTACGATGCGAAAACGGGAGACATTTCTAGCAAGAGGATCTTCTTCCACCTGGAAGAGGAGGGCGTACACCCAGACGGCCATGCCATGGACGTTGAAGGGAACATCTGGCACGCCTGCTACGGGGGCTCCAAGGTCATACGAATATCGCCGCAAGGTGCCATCACCGGAGTCATCCACCTCCCGACACGCAACATCACCTGCCCGACCTTTGCAGGTACCGAATTGTTCATCACTAGTGCTGCGGAACATCAGCCTGACAAATACCCGGATTCGGCCAAATTTGCTGGAAATTTGTTCAGGGTTGACGTCGGAATCGAGGGCATGCCCAAGTACAGGGCTCGCTTGAACTAGGGTCATCTTTCCAAGGGGGCCCCGGGCTGTGTGAATTTTCTAGAAACAATGGTTGACTGAGATGGAGCGAGATTAAACGTCGGATATTATCTCTGGCACCAAGGGAAGAGTTGCCTGGTTGAGCGAAGCCGGGAGCGGGCCCAGAGAGGGTGATAGACTAATTGGTATTAGATGGTAGATTTTGGAAGCAGGGCTGTAATAAGCGACGTCAATCATCCGTGTCTCTCTTTTCGCTCTCACCATCATGAAATCCCGACCAGGATCGTGCCAGGTCGCGGGGCTGACGGGGCTGTGACAAGGCTGGCTGGTCGGTGATCAGAAATAGCTTCGCCTGGCATAATAGACGAGGTTGTTTTTTGGTTCCAGGGCTGCCGAAGCGACGAGGGCCTACGTAGCACCTGTACGTAACTCCTAGCCCATGGGTATGCCACACAGCTTGTGTTTCTACTACAATCAAAGTTTGATTGTTCTGTTCCAATCTGACCGACGCTTGTGCTTGTTCAAGTTGAACGAGCTGAACCCCGAGCCAAGTCGAACTTTGTCCCTGTTGCATTAAAACTCTTGCGCAAATTGCGGCCACCACTACCACCATTAGGTACTCCCACCCAAGCAGACTTTACTATCTTGCCGTGGATTGACGTGATTAGCCTCCAACTCTAACAGAGGAAAGGGTTTTAAAGTCGACATCGTTCGTCATATGCCACAAACGGTGGTCGGGGAAGACGGCCCAGCTGAATCTCGAAGCAAGGATGGTCCGTCGCAGAGTCAAAAGTGAAACTGCGTGCCATAGTCGAGGTGCGTCTTCGTCTCTCACTCACACCTTTACCAACGGAGTTTCAGCTTAGGGGAAATTAGTTCTGTCACATCCCCAGTGACTGTCTTACCGTCTCGCTTATTCCAAACCGAGAGCCGTGACGGTGAGGGGCATGCTTTCAAAGTCTCCAGCACTTGTTGACGGTGACCACTGCCGTTGCGGCCGTGGCTTCAAGCTCGGACCCTCCGAAACGGACCCTTCAATTTGCCCTTTGGCTGACATCGAGGGCTTGTTGCCTGTTCTTGTCTGGGGAAGATACTCGCATAGAAAGAGATGGCTCACTTCGCTTCCTACGGTGGCCGCTTCGTTGTATCTCAAGACTCAGGGGGGGTCACCTCTCCTCTAAGGACAACAGGAGGTGAAGGCGTGACCAAACCAGTGCAAAGCGGTACCGGTGGCTTTGCTCGGCAGGCGTCATCAGGAATACGACCAGCACCTCCACCATCAAGCTACAGGGGCCTTAAGGGAGCGACTGCAGGGGGGTTGACGCCTCAAGTCCGAAGTAGGCAATGGCAGGCCCCGTGGCCCCCCCGTTAGCCTGACGGGCGCGGGATGGCATTTCCCACGTGGCCGTCGACCCTCTTTGCACACTCGTCAGACTTCAAGACTGGCCCTACCCAACAGACTACCCCTCCTCGCTCTCCCTGAAGATGCCTTCGCTCTCCAGAGGCGGTCAGTAATGCCGACGTCAATCCTAGTTTACTTCGCATCAAGTGATCGATCCTAGTGGTTCCAATGGACAAGAAATAACAACCATAGCACCTTGTGTGGACCGGTGACTTCTGTGGGGGAAAGGTAGCACCAGCGTGCCCTGTCTTCGACGACACCAGAAGCACGAGATGTTCAGGTGGGATCAACTTTCGGGGATTCCCTTCCACAGAAATCGCTGAGAAATCGTCGTCACAAAGAGCATTTACCGCCTCGGGAAGTTTGATTGCTGATCGAAAGCGTTTTCTACGAGGAGAAGACAGGCTGAGTCCAAATGCCAAATGGCAAATCGTCTACCTCTGCACAAAGCCAACTTGTTGGCTGTTGGCCATGATCGACACTGCCTCGTCGTGTTTCTTTTCCCAGTCTTGAGGACGCTAAGCGAGGCATGATGAGAAAAGCCCAGAAGGGGGGAGTAGGGTCACACTTGGCAACCTCGACATCTTGGATCTGATGCGTCCAGCCTGTTAGTCACCAAGAAGGTGGCTCTGGTGGCTCTTCCTTTCCACACGTCCTGCATGCACGGCGGTGGCGGAT